ATGGGAGTGGCTGGTTGCCCGACTGGCGTATTTTCAACTAGGGAAAAAAACAAATACTCAAAGTGGAATGCAATGATCACAAAGAGAGAGAAACTCAAAGTCATTACCACACTAGTTCATAAAATGAACGAAAGTTTTCACCAATATATCAATATTATTCATCCAAACATAAAATTCACAATGGAATTAACGCCATCTGAGTAGAACAGAGGAAAGAATCACTCCAAAACTGAAATTCCCATACGGGAGTGGCTGGTTGCCCGACTGGCGTAATTTCAACTACGAAATAGCCACAATGCTCAAAGTGGAATGATATGTTAAATAAATGCAAAAAGCTGAAAGTCATATCCACACAGTGTTCATAAACTGAACAACAATGGTAGATTTCGGGAGAAAAACAACTACTTCCCTGGCTAATGCCACGCAGGATATTGAATTACATCCTCCCGAAATCTATGCATCGACTCGTATAAACGAATACTGATACAAGTGATTCTTTCCTGAATGCCTATTGATTTCGATTAAGCAGGCCGCTAGACAACCACAGACCGGTTTCGAGCTCTTTGACTCTCATCAGTGCAGTGTAGTCTCCAGCCAGCAGTCCTAAGACCGCCGACTCAGCGAAGCCTAGCCAAACAAAAATCAATTCGGCATTTCATCCACCCCGAGGCGTCTTTCATCGACAAAATGAAAGTAACGCCATCTGAGTAGAACAGAGGAAAGAATCACTCCAAAACTGAAATTCCCATACGGGAGTGGCTGGTTGCCCGACTGGCGTAATTTCAACTACGAAATAGCCACAATGCTCAAAGTGGAATGATATGTTAAATAAATGCAAAAAGCTCAAAGTCATATCCACACAGTGTTCATAAACTGAACAACAATGGTAGATTTCGGGAGAAAAACAACTACTTCCCTGGCTAATGCCACGCAGGATATTGAATTACATCCTCCCGAAATCTATGCATCGACTCGTATAAACGAATACTGATACAAGTGATTCTTTCCTGAATGCCTATTGATTTCGATTAAGCAGGCCGCTAGACAACGACAGACCGGTTTCGAGCTCTTTGACTCTCATCAGTGCAGTGTAGTCTCCAGCCAGCAGTCCTAAGACCGCCGACTCAGCGAAGCCTAGCCAAACAAAAATCAATTTGGCATTTCATCCACCCCGAGGCGTCTTTCATCGACAAAATGAAAGTAACGCCATCTGAGTAGAACAGAGGAAAGAATCACTCCAAAACTGAAATTCCCATACGGGAGTGGCTGGTTGCCCGACTGGCGTAATTTCAACTACGAAATAGCCACAATGCTCAAAGTGGAATGATATGTTAAATAAATGCAAAAAGCTCAAAGTCATATCCACACAGTGTTCATAAACTGAACAACAATGGTAGATTTCGGGAGAAAAACAACTACTTCCCTGGCTAATGCCACGCAGGATATTGAATTACATCCTCCCGAAATCTATGCATCGACTCGTATAAACGAATACTGATACAAGTGATTCTTTCCTGAATGCCTATTGATTTCGATTAAGCAGGCCGCTAGACAACCACAGACCGGTTTCGAGCTCTTTGACTCTCATCAGTGCAGTGTAGTCTCCAGCCAGCAGTCCTAAGACCGCCGACTCAGCGAAGCCTAGCCAAACAAAAATCAATTTGGCATTTCATCCACCCCGAGGCGTCTTTCATCGACAAAATGAAAGTAACGCCATCTGAGTAGAACAGAGGAAAGAATCACTCCAAAACTGAAATTCCCATACGGGAGTGGCTGGTTGCCCGACTGGCGTAATTTCAACTACGAAATAGCCACAATGCTCAAAGTGGAATGATATGTTAAATAAATGCAAAAAGCTCAAAGTCATATCCACACAGTGTTCATAAACTGAACAACAATGGTAGATTTCGGGAGAAAAACAACTACTTCCCTGGCTAATGCCACGCAGGATATTGAATTACATCCTCCCGAAATCTATGCATCGACTCGTATAAACGAATACTGATACAAGTGATTCTTTCCTGAATGCCTATTGATTTCGATTAAGCAGGCCGCTAGACAACCACAGACCGGTTTCGAGCTCTTTGACTCTCATCAGTGCAGTGTAGTCTCCAGCCAGCAGTCCTAAGACCGCCGACTCAGCGAAGCCTAGCCAAACAAAAATCAATTTGGCATTTCATCCACCCCGAGGCGTCTTTCATCGACAAAATGAAAGTAACGCCATCTGAGTAGAACAGAGGAAAGAATCACTCCAAAACTGAAATTCCCATACGGGAGTGGCTGGTTGCCCGACTGGCGTAATTTCAACTACGAAATAGCCACAATGCTCAAAGTGGAATGATATGTTAAATAAATGCAAAAAGCTCAAAGTCATATCCACACAGTGTTCATAAACTGAACAACAATGGTAGATTTCGGGAGAAAAACAACTACTTCCCTGGCTAATGCCACGCAGGATATTGAATTACATCCTCCCGAAATCTATGCATCGACTCGTATAAACGAATACTGATACAAGTGATTCTTTCCTGAATGCCTATTGATTTCGATTAAGCAGGCCGCTAGACAACCACAGACCGGTTTCGAGCTCTTTGACTCTCATCAGTGCAGTGTAGTCTCCAGCCAGCAGTCCTAAGACCGCCGACTCTGTGTGGATATGACTTTGAGCTTTTTGCATTTATTTAACATATCATTCCACTTTGAGCATTGTGGCTATTTCGTAGTTGAAATTACGCCAGTCGGGCAACCAGCCACTCCCGTATGGGAATTTCAGTTTTGGAGTGATTCTTTCCTCTGTTCTACTCAGATGGCGTTACTTTCATTTTGTCGATGAAAGACGCCTCGGGGTGGATGAAATGCCAAATTGATTTTTGTTTGGCTAGGCTTCGCTGAGTCGGCGGTCTTAGGACTGCTGGCTGGAGACTACACTGCACTGATGAGAGTCAAAGAGCTCGAAACCGGTCTGTGGTTGTCTAGCGGCCTGCTTAATCGAAATCAATAGGCATTCAGGAAAGAATCACTTGTATCAGTATTCGTTTATACGAGTCGATGCATAGATTTCGGGAGGATGTAATTCAATATCCTGCGTGGCATTAGCCAGGGAAGTAGTTGTTTTTCTCCCGAAATCTACCATTGTTGTTCAGTTTATGAACACTGTGTGGATATGACTTTGAGCTTTTTGCATTTATTTAACATATCATTCCACTTTGAGCATTGTGGCTATTTCGTAGTTGAAATTACGCCAGTCGGGCAACCAGCCACTCCCTTATGGGAATTTCAGTTTTGGAGTGATTCTTTCCACTGTTCTACTCAGATGGCGTTACTTTCATTTTGTCGATGAAAGACGCCTCGGGGTGGATGAAATGCCAAATTGATTTTTGTTTGGCTAGGCTTCGCTGAGTCGGCGGTCTTAGGACTGCTGGCTGGAGACTACACTGCACTGATGAGAGTCAAAGAGCTCGAAACCGGTCTGTGGTTGTCTAGCGGCCTGCTTAATCGAAATCAATAGGCATTCAGGAAAGAATCACTTGTATCAGTATTCGTTTATACGAGTCGATGCATAGATTTCGGGAGGATGTAATTCAATATCCTGCGTGGCATTAGCCAGGGAAGTAGTTGTTTTTCTCCCGAAATCTACCATTGTTGTTCAGTTTATGAACACTGTGTGGATATGACTTTGAGCTTTTTGCATTTATTTGAAGATATAATGGTTGCCTTATTCTCATTAAAAAACGTATTGTAATCCAATACATCAGTTCTGCATTCCAATCGATAGCTCACAATGCGGCATTTGAACGCATTTTCAATCACATATACTCCGTCCCTATAATTGACGCAAGCGTTTGTCCGATGCTCCAATGTCCTTTTATGCGCACCCATTTTATCGGTTGGAATGGTCTTATTGCAAACAGTACATGTCTGCACATTTGCAGAAGTTGCTGCTTGCTGAGTGCCATCTTCCAGTCGAGGCTTCTTTGCAATAGATGGGTTGAAATTTCCCACACATGCAACCCTTTGATGACGTCGTAGATTGTCACTACGTGTGAAAGGTTTAGCGCACACACTGCAAACTAACATTTTGTTTAGATGATTTATCACTCACAAAGAACTATTCAACTTGATGTTTGATGATAGTATTGAGAGAGAACTGTGCTCTCATGGACACAACTATTGGGTTTATATAGGAGGGAGTCATGACGTAACACAGCACCCCACTTCTACCAAAACGACCTCGACCAGCCTACTCCCATTTTCAAGGTCGCACACGCTTTCACCTCCCTCTCCAAGGTCGAGGTCTCTCTCTCTCTCTCTACAACTCAAGGTCACTCGTTCCCAAGGTCACATATGCGAAGGTTACTCGTACAACCTTCCTTCAAGGTCACTTTGTCTCGCCCTCAAGGTCACCTCCGCGTTCAAGGGCGTGCTGTCGACACTTCACTATACGATGTTACTCCCGCCCAAGGTCAGACCCGTTCAAGGTCACTCCCGCCCAAGGTCACTCCCGCCCAAGGTCACTCCGCCCAAGGTCGGAGGACGGTGACCTAGGGCGGAGAGCCAGAACCGGCCAATCTTTACTACTGGGGATTACACTGCCATACCGATAGCGTGTCGCTACAGGGGTGCCATACCGAAAAAACTATTTTTTTTTGTTTTCAGCAACGCTCTGGAATGGCTGGGCAGAATTGCTTCCAAACTTGTATTTATAGGTTTTGGAGGTCGCTGATTACGAATTTGATGTCAAACTCGTGAAAATCAAAATGGCGGACCCAATATGGCGGACGAAAAAAAGTGAAAATTCGTAGATTGTTTTCAATACTTGTGAAATTGATAAAAACAAATTGAAGATTGAAAATGCCGGATCTAATATGGCGGACAAAATGTTCTAAAATGCTTCCATTTTTCTGAAAATGGTCACTGATAATGAAATACTACGTACTCAAGTTCATTTGTAATTTAGTTTATAAGAAGTAAACACAATACATTTGTATAAAAATATATCTTCAAAATTCGTCTTCATCATCATTGGAGGAAGCATCACGTTCGTCATCGGATAGGTCGGCATTGTAGTCAAATGCATCCACATTTGTTTCTGCAATGCCATCAGATGAAGCATCTTCATCCACATCTTCATCTGTTTCTTCGTCAGAACTAGCTGTTTCTGTAAATCCATTGATCTATTGATTTCAGTTCAACTCATTATTGCATGATTGAATGACTAGAGTAATATCTTCATTCATTTATTATTATTACTTTTATTGAAAATGTTGCCTTTTGAATATAAGTTGTAATTATTATTTTCGAAAATATTTATGTAATATCATTTTATATTAACCTTGCTCGATGGTTTCTGTCGTTTCCTGTTCCTCTCGCTTACGTTCCTCAGTCTCAATATTTTGCAGGACTATTTCATTTATGGTGTTTGGCATAGCTTCACCGTCAAACCACTTGAAAGTATAGCCATCGTCAGACAAATCCCAACCATGATGAGAAGCATTTTCATGCACTGTTGGAACTTTCAAATGGCTGTTACACCAAATGTCGGCAACGTAAGATACTCGTAATAGTTGTTGATATAACTCAGCTTTGCATGGTGGAATAGTCGAGGCATCGAAGTTTCGTACTGTCTTGTTGAATGATTGTTTATCACTCTTCATGCTGTACGATTTCAAAAACAGAGCCAATCTGGCTTCGTTACCTTCGTTGATGTGATTTTGACCATACAACCTGCAATAATATATAACGTTTCATACGAATCGATGTATGACTTATTGGTTATTTTATATAATAGAGGAATAAAAAACAAACCTGCACACAAATTTTTCAAGCACGGAAAAGCTTTCTTCACGTTGTTCATTAATGTTAATAAAAGCATCTTGAAATTCTTCATTCTGCAAAACAATTTGCAAAGGCTTCTTCTTTCCTTTGCGGTACAAAGCTGGGATATAATCGCATCCGGTCATTGCATGAGGACCTGCCAAAGAACGGCACATTTTTTCGCCCAATTTATCGTGGATTTTATTGACATGGATGTATCTTTGTTTGTTTCCTGAAAGATAATTACGGTCAAGAATTTTAAACAATTACATCAAACCTTCAAATCGTGTTCATAAACATTTATAAATGTTCTACTTTTTGATACCTGTACTGAAACGCAACCAAATTTCCAAATTCGCTTTCAAGTGACACATGTTAGCCAGCATAATAACAAGGACATCGGTGTCAGAGCACTGAATTTCAACGTTGTAGTCATTTCCCATTTGGCACAAGTGGAAAATGATTTTTGTGTCAGCTTCTTCATGGGCAGGACAAGAAATATCTTCATCAATTGTTCTAACAACATGACCTTCTTCCACTACGTATTTATAGCACTTGTCGAAAGAAACGTACAAAACTTTTCGTTTTATGATCTCTGCTGCATCGTCGCTTGACCAATGTTCGATAAGAAACTTAACTAAGGCCGTCTTGAATTTGTCATTTCGCAATTCAGCACTGAAATTGCTAGGTCGAACCTGTTCACTTCCATAAATGAAGAAGTCGGCAGAAAAACATTCTCTCCGGTTACGTTCTACTGCTTTTATCGATGGTTCGACGTATTGATCGAAGACAACAAGTACTTGAGAAGCATAAGCAGAACACACAGAGGTTAAATACTTTAAGGAAACATTCCCAAAAGTTACCGGAACTTGCTTCATTGTGTGAAACAGGAAAAATCCATCCACGACTTTAACATCAATAAATTGAGGTGCACCATGATCTTGCACTTTAGATTCCAGTGTTGCAGTCAAAGCAGATTTATCTGTTTTGTGGATGATCCCTTCGATCTGGCACATCGATAGAGGTACAGGAGTCAGTGGGTACGTTAAGACCTGCGAAATTGTTAATAGTTCATACATATATGAATTCAAAAATATTTTTAATTTTGGGTAAAAATAATACCTTTGTTAAATCGATTTTCTTTTCCAGTGATATTGCCAAAAGTCGTCCAAACAAATCCTTCTGGAACTTCACTTCTGTAACTTTTCCCCCGATTCCTATCTTCCTTTTTTTTACAACAGAGGCGAAATTATTTATCTTGACCCTCTTTATTGTGTAATTGTGAAATGCATCTTCATCTTCAATACAAGCGTTGATCATACTTGTGCGCATTTCGTTGCCAATTGATTCAATTGAAGTAAGAAATAATGCGACGTCTTTGGGCGCTGCTTCGCCAGTAGATATATTGTACAGTAGCTCCTCCTTTAGACTCTCATCAAATGGATTCATTCGCAGGTTAAGTCCATTTATGAAATTGGCCATCTGCATTCTGCTTTTCCTTATGCGGTCTTCCTTCAAGTCATTTGTTGTTCTTTCAATTCCTGATAATCCCAGCGTTTTCAATAAATGAGAACATACTTCAGATCTAAGAGCGAAGTCGACAGTCCACCTGAAAATTGCAGATAATTACTATGCAATGTTATCTAATAACTTTCAAAAAATTCATCAAGGTAATGATAATTGTTAATTTTAAAAGTAGAAATGTGTTATTACCTCATGCGTGCTTTAATTGAATTGGTGAAATGAGTGATTCCTGTTAAAGTTCTGCCAGCATCTGCATTGATAGTTTGTTCTACAACTAAATCTGCTCCTTGCCTTGAGAAATTTTTGTTCGTGCGTTTGATACCTAAATAACCATCCTGGAAGTCCTTCAACAGCTCTGGATGTGTCTCTCCAACTTTTGACAAGTTGTCACAATATCTGACAAGCGAACGAGCGTAGTTTATGTGATTGAATGGAAAAAAGATATTGTTCAACTTGGGCAATATGTACTTCAGAAGGTCAAAGTCACCCATGCGTATACTTCTGCTGAACATCAGATAATGGTCGATAAGATTGGTGTATATCATGTAGAATTGCGGTGTTTTCCCATGCAGACCCGCCAGTGTCTCCTCTTTGAAGGTCAAATACTGTTGAGCAAGGTGCCGCAGCTCAATGTTGTCTATTTTATTTTCAATTACTCCATGAGACTGCAGTAACTTTAAATGAGCAATCAAAGAATCTGAAATTTGCACATCCTTCTTCCTCAGGAAAAACTTGAAATGCTCTACTTTAAGACACAGTGACACGAGAATATGCAGTCTTTTTGTACGATTAAAATTTTTGGCAGATAAAAATCCTCAGAGTGATCCTGCTGCTAGTAGTCCACTTTCAATCATAACATTAGTTAGACCGCAATTATCTATAAATGATCCAACTGCATGTAAATATGACATTTCTGTGTGAAAAGGACCAAGATGAATAAAAATCCGATCAAAATCGTTTTTGTACATTGACTGCAATTGCATTGCTATTTTCGCAATGGCTAAATCGTAAGTGACTGTTATATATTTTTGATTACATTCAGCAGCGACTTGAGTGGCTCGTCTCATGGTTTCCAAAACGACAGCCGGATCTGTTGGGGACAAATTGATCGGTGGTAGGTAGGAAACTATTTGTGTTACAGAAGTGTCATTTAATAATTTGGCATTGAACCCGACCCACATTGGTGTTTTGATGTCTAAAGCATGGGATATCATCCATGTGACATCGATGATTTTGAATTCTTTCAAATTGGCAGGAGCAGCTGTAACACCGATGGAGTCCACTCGTTGAAGCTGTCCAACGAACTTTAATCTTTTTGCAAGAGGCTCTACTTCTGGAATTATGGTGTCAAATGTTCGTCTTCTTTTTTTTCCAGCAGCTTCGCCGTCAGTAGAACTTTGTAAAACACTTTCGTTGTTGTCCTCGCAAATGTTTTGGTGAATTATCCCGACCGTGTCATGGAGGGTTTCCTTCCCCGTAGTGGTTTCAACAAATCTGTCGAAGTTGTCGAATGCAACGCCTGTATGCAGGTCATTTTTCATGATTATGTTACTTGGGCATAACGATGATTTGTTAAAACTAGTATAAGCAGCCTCAGTTTCCAGTTCTTCGATAACACTATAAGAAATACAGTGTCTCAGTTTGTTCATGATGTTCAAAACTTTCTTACTGTTAGTGAGACTTTTCAGGGCTATTCCAAGCTCAATTTGTTTGGCAGGTTTTATCCTTCCTCGTGTTGTAGCATAAATGAGGTCTGAAGATAACGTTTCACTGCGTAAATCCAGATTTGAGGCATGCCTTTGGTGATAATTAAAACCTCCTAAAACTGTTTTATAAAATGTTTTCAATATTTCTGGAATATCACATTCTCCAGCAATCAAATCTTTGGTTTCTACTTTGTTTGGAAGTGTCTTTTTCTTCATTTGAAAAATAACATTTCTCAGATGAATTGCTGCTCGTTGTAGGGTATCTTCTTTCTTTAGTGCATCAAGGTTGCTAATTGTTGTAACGTCATAAGGAGCAATAATGGTTTTTCCTCCACATGGTGTTATAATGGTGATTTTTTTCTTGAACGCCTCCTGAGAAAGTATTCTATTTCTTATGTGCCTTGTATCAGAAACGCGTGCTGTGGGTAAATCGTTTTTCTTATATTCTTCTACTAACAAGTTTGAAAAAACTTCTGTCAAAAAACTGAAAAAAAAAACTTATTTTCATTGATAACATTATCTTTAATAAAACGGCACAGGTTGATAAATGCAGTGGTGTGACAATTGCGCCTCTTGTGCCATGCAGAACTCTTATTTGCCAACATTAGTCGACAATCAGTTCTGTATTTTTCTCTGCAGGGCCTGTGATAATATATCATGTCGTTGTTTTGAACACGGCCGGCAATTAAAGTCAAAAGTCTAATGTCATCAATTTCTGTTGCAAGTTTTTTAATTGAATGTACCACTTTCGCATTGACTGTCATTTTACTCATTTTAACTTTTTTTCGATTTTTGTATTTAGTAACTTTGTTGCAAATTATGCATTTCGTCTTCTCAGCAGCTGCATCATCATCACCTTCAACGCCTACTTCTTCAGTCGTTTCATTATCTGCGTTATCAACCCCATCTGTGCTTCCTTCTTCGTTAGTTTCATTGTCCATATCTTCTTGTACTTCTGTGGTTACTTCCTTTGTAGCCTTTTTGCTCATATTATTGTCCACTTCTGTGCCTGCTTCATAATCGCCGGGAACACACCTAATGAATAAATCGAAAACAAAAAGTAATAAGAAATATTTCCTACAATTTCTTAACCCTTTAATGCCGAATTTCTTCATTTAAGAAAAAAGTTAAATGTAAATTGTGTCTTTACATATACGCTAATCAACAGAAATGTAAAAAGGCAGTTTGCTGTTGACATTTTTGTTATATTTATGCAGTTGTATCAAAATTAGATATTGGAATTCTTCTGAATAAATTTTATAATAATGAAGGAAGAATTTAATTTCAAAAATTAAAACAAGTTTTAGAAAAAATATCGGATTATTCAAAAATTATAAATGATGCTATATGGAATCGTACGGAAATATAGGGTAAATAATGTAAACTTTGTGAATCCTTTTAAAATATTAATACATATTATAAATGAACTTTTCAAGAACCATGCTCAATCATTGCGAAATGTATAATTTCCTAACGCTTTTGCTCAAACTCTTCATTTTTGGATAACCAGGAATAAGATTATTCACCCATTTTCAGTGCAACTGAATATAAGCGTGGTTTTTATTTTTTTTTATAATATTTACTTTCTACTCTTCATATCACTTCTTGTCATGATACTCTCGTAATCGATTTAAAATGCATTTTGGAAATTTTACAACTACTCAAAACCATCCGTCGTTTCGAAGACGCCACCTCGAATTTTTCAATTTTGACCAAAGAATCGTAATCCCTGTAAACTCCCATATACCAATTTTGAATCGAAAATGATCATAATTACAGAACTCGTCTACCATATTGAAGCCGCCATTTTGAATTTTCAAGTATTGACAAAATAATCATAATCTCCGTTTCTGAAAACCCCTAGATATCAATTTTAATGGAATCAGATCATAATTACGAAGATCGTCCGCCGTATTGGAGCCGACATTTTCAATTTCTAAATTTTGACAAAAGAATCATAATTTTCCACCCTGAACACTCCTACATACCAATTTTCAATCGAATCATAATTACAAAACTCGTCCGCCATATTGGAGCCGCCATAATGTTTTTTCTCTAACAAAAATTGCATAATACATTGTCACCGGAATTACAAACACCTGCAAAATTTCAAGTCATTCCGACGTCAGGAAGTGGGTGAAAATTTATATCAAAGATTTTATTACATTGTTAGTTAGTTAGTTACATGTGAAGCTATTGAAAGCGTGTTAAAAATGGCGACATAGCAGTCCTCGGAAAACAATCAAGACTAGAACGGATATATCCGCCGTTTGGCATTGAAGTGTTAACTAAGAAACTTTCACTAACTTCATTGACTTCATCTGGCATGAACGTGTTTAAGGAAAACGATATAATTAGACTCTTGAAAAAAACCTTCGTTTGAAAAACGAGAATATTATTTTGATCTCTACTGAAATATTGTTAATTTTAAATATTTTAAAAACCTTTCATATTCAACTACGCATTGAACAGTTTACATTGAAATATGTAAAATTACTCTAACGCTTACCCAGTATTTGAAAAATCAAAAGATTCTTCTGACGCAATATCTCCAAACTGAGAAGTTCCAGGTTTCGCATCTTTGTCTCCTGACTGAGAAGTTCCAGGCTCCGCATCTTTATCCTTATCAATTTGCAATCGTTCGAACTGCTCTTTATGTTTTTTTCCAATAGCGTTGAAAGAGCGATAACACGATATGTGGTATCCGCTTCTGTCATCTATTTCATGCGACAAACTAGCCTCATTGTATTTCAAATTACACAATTGGCGGATTTGCAAAGAATGTTTACATTTATGAAACGACTCTCGTTTAAACGAAATAACACTATCATCACTCGATTTGCAAATAAAACACGATCGTTTTTCATTAAAAATTTCTTCATCCATAGTGGCAAGAATTTCACTTCTCAACTGCCGGCAGAATAATGGTTGGATTTTGGGTTTTGGATTCGAAACCCGACAAACAGGTAGCTGTGCAGGTAGTCCAAGCAGCCGGCCCACTCCCCCTCCCCATGAAATATGCAGTTTGTATTATTCCACAACAGCATCGAAGGTTTTGAAGGAAACGCAAACGAGTGTTTTATTTCCAGACACTGTATTATTTTATTTCATTTAATTTTTCTATCAATTGATGAGATACCTATCTTCTCAGATTATATTCTGTGAACTTACCTATATTGTGTAAAAAACATGATTTTCCAGCGTAAAACAATACGTCATATACATTATCAATACTCATTTCCACAACAATTTTATACTTGATAATAACCACTATTGTATTTTTTAATATGTACATGCAAAACATTTTATGCAATATTATCATATACCTACCAAAATAGTAAATTATGTAATAAGTGTGTAATAAAGTGGTTTTTTTTTTTCGATCAGGAAAGAATTTCTATGAGTAAAAAAAAACACTTTACACACGTGTTGCATACAATATTTTTTCCACAACTGTCCATCCAATTTTCATGAAGTTCATTACCTATTCAACCTCAATCATTTAATGGTGTATTCACCTAGTTTCTAAAGAAGAAATAGCCACAGGCACCTTGGCCTAAACTGAATAAATAGCTCAAATAATCCCGTGTACAGCGCTCATGAAATGACAAAAGAGACGCGTACCTCCAATATCAATTGCCCCGAATGCGTTTTCGCGCTCTCTCGCGTCTCATTCGCGAGCCGCCTTGACTTTTTTTCGCTTCGATTGCTGTCGCGATGAATCCGTATCAGGCGAGCATTACGTCTCCTAGCAACAACCGTGAAGACAAGTGCACTATTTTTCACACTTTTTCCTGAAATATTGAAACAGTATTTCGATATTGAAAAATGACACACTTTAGGTGCACAAAATACACAAAAAGTGACTTTTTTTGACAGTTGTAGAAAAAAAATTATTTTATGTATATTGATTGTGCACGTTAGCGACATGCCATGGGTATGGCAATGATATATTCGTGCTTTATACTTCAAAATATACATCAAAATGCCGGTATGGCAGTGGGGCCTTTAATACACTTAACCTATGAAAATGTGACAACTTTGGAAGCCAATATCTGACGTTGGCGACATTGCATCGGTATGGCGCTATTAAAACTTTGTTCGGGACATCAGAATTAACGAAGGAGACGCATTTCCATGGTGGGGCCTATTATTCATCTCCATTGCTAAAATTGACATGTTCGCCCCAATATGGCGGCCACTTGGCGACGCCCCAGAGGTATGGCGTTTTGAAATCTTTGTTCTACAGTTCATTGTTAACAAAGATCACGAAACAACAGCGTGGGGCCCATGATTCATATCCACAGTGAAAAAATTACACGTTGCGGTAAATATGGCGGACCCTAAGTGACGCCATATTGGTATGGCATAACGAGTTCGCGAACTTTGGCGACCTCCTTGACGACATAAAACAAGAATAAAAGTGGGGCTTATGATCCAGGGGCATGGATATTAATGACACGTTTGAAAATTCACCCCTCCTAAAAGCTACACTTTAGGGGTGCCATACCGGGAATTCAAAGTGGGGAATAACGTTGTCTATCAGCCCCCAAAGCCTCGGCGTGGGGCCTATGATACATGCAAAAACCCTCTCGCCTCCAGGTCGATAATGGCTGACTATCAACCCTATTCTAACAGTGGAATGAGTGCTGTTCGCATGTACGCTGAGATATCCTAAACGAAGAATTCCAAATAGGAGAACAAATGTTGCCATTGAGCGATGACTGAGAGACACTAGAACTTTTGTGGTGAAGAGACGTGGGTCTGGAAGGCAGAGATTTACACTAACTATAGAGCAAGAACAAGTACTGGAAGATATTGATCAACGTCCAGGAATGAGTTGCAGACAACTTGCTCTTTTTTTTTATCGCTTGGAGCGCACGAAAGGGAATCCCTATAATGTTCAAAGAACATCGTTAGACAGGATTGTCGAAAAGGTCTCTTTGGAGAATCCCTAAGGAGCAATCATTTTACCCATTCAGCTTCAGGAAAGTGCAAGAACTTCCCTCAGGTGATCTCAGAATGAGAATATATTATTGTCATTGGTTTCTTGAACAACAGAATGAAGAGGCCACGTTCACTAGAAATGGAATAACTAATTAACATAATGCTCATGAGTGGAATGATGAGAATCCAAGAGTTATTATGCAAACTCACCACCAATAGATTTTCAAAACGAACGTTTGGGCCGGAGTTGTAGAAAATTATCTGATAGGACCAGTTTTTCTACCAAACCGCTTGACCAGACAAGAGTGTTTAAATTTTTTGCAGCATGATTTGACGGATCTCTTGGACGGCGTTTGTTCAGGAATAAGGAATAAAATGTGGTTTCAACAGGATGACGCACCACCGCATCATAGTCGCGAGGTTAGAATGTGGTTATGTCAGAGATTTATTGACCGATGGATTGGCAGAGCTAGAATGCAGCAGTGAAATGGCCCCCTCGTTCTCCAGATCTAACGCCATTGGATTTGTGGTTCTGGACACTCATGAAAAACGAAGTATATTCACTAGCTATCGACACAGAGGAACAGTTTAGTGCAAGAATTTCCACAGCTGCTGGTAAAAAATCGCGCCCTATAGGATTAATTCCTGGAAGGAAGGAATGCTCGAAGTCATCTCCACAAATTGTAATGATGTTGTTACATAATCTTAAGGGACATGTTTCGGTCTTATAAAAGACCATCTTCAGCATAATTGAATTTATAAGACCGATACATGTCCCTTATGTAACAACATCATTAAAACTTTTGGAGATGACTTCGAGCATTCCTCTTTCCTGGGAACTCTTTCACTCCACTTTGAGCAATATGGACCTCTACCGAAGATTATTAATTAATTATTTGCGTTCGATAGTGCCACCGCGTGAACCCCCCATGGCGGTAAGCGACCCGATAGGAAGTGCACCGCGAAATTTTGATAATTATGAGAAAATTGTGAGAGTAACTTCAGCAGATCGAGTCGCATCATCATCATCATCGTGGAAATCACTCGCACCAAACATGCCGGCTAAAGTTGAACACACAATAGCACTGGATCGCGAGAATATTACACGTAGAGTTCACGTTAGCAGCGATGATGACGATGATGATGATATCCCATTAACACAGGATACAAAACTTCAGGAAGCTCTCAGAGTACTGGATAGGCACAATACTCAAATGAGTTCACGTCCAAATTTGATACAGGGCAGGAAAGTGGTTGCCAAACATAGTGTGAACGATTATGCGGAACGGCAAAAGATGTTCGTCATGGAGTTTGAAACATATAGTTTATAAATATCCATTGTAGACGCCAGCCGCTCAGAACCGTTCGATTGTGTTGGGGGACTCCGAAAATCAGACGGCAAAAGAATTGCCAATATCAAAGAACTGCAAGCTACATTACGAATGGAAGAAATCGCCCCTGATGCAAAAATGAGCCGAATACATGATGAATTCGCTGGGAAAGAGGCAGAAAGGCTCGCTAAACGCAAACCTTTGGAGGAAAAGTTAGAGAATTGTAGGCGGGAACGGGATAGGTGTATCACAACGATGGAAAATTGTGAAGCAGGATTCGCGCAATATGATGAAATTGCTCACTGTGATAGTAAAAAAAAAAATTATTAATACCTCGCTCCAGAGAGCATCGATCCGGTAAGTAGCGAAGACGAATTTCAGGAGATCAGCAATCGCAACATGTTAGTGAATGGAAACAGAAGTGAACTAGAAGAAGCGATAAAAATGGAAAATAATAGGAGGAAGGAAACCAGCAACCTGATAGTGAATGGAAACGAAGATGAACTAGAATAATCAATGGAAATGGAAAATAATAGAAGAGAGAGCCACGGCAACATATTAGTAAATGAGTGAATGGTAACAGTGATGAACTAGAAGAATCAATAGAAATTGAAAATAGTTTCAGAGCAATAAGCATTGAAGAAGAAACCAGACAAATTCAGAAATCAAGAAAGAGACAGAGAAACCCGGGATCATGGGCTAGAAATGTCAAAAAGAAGAAATTTAATAATGAAAAGATGATGAAAAGCCCTAATTTCGAGTGACAATGGCAAATGAAAAAACTCCACCGCCCCGTGTGAGAGTCGAACTCACAACCTCTGGGTTACATGCCCAACGCTCTGCCAATTGAACCAACGGGTCGTTCGTCGATCAATCGGCAGGGAGGTCGAGTTCTCATCACACATCAAGCGGCAGAATCCATCCAATTCCCGAAGTCACTCGAAATCATGCACTATACGGAGCATCGCTGGCAGGATGGTACTATACAGTCTCCATACTTCCCCGTTCGTCCTCTGCGGCATTGTCTTTCCTTGTATACGAAAATGTCCGCAAGCAATCTATAAATAGGAGTGGGTGATAATATTTGTCGGTTACTCGACCGGAAAGATACATATAATAATGAAGATGATGGAAAGCTCTAATTTCGAGTGACAATGGCAAATGAAAAAACTCCACCGCTCCGTGTGAGAGTCGAACTCACAACCTCTGGGTTACATGCCCAACGCAAAAGAAGAAAGTCAACTTGAAAGAAGCCTACAAAACAAAATCTGGCCGACCGGTTGCTGAGAAGGTGATGAAAACAGGATAAGTGTAGAATGGTAGACTGAAATGCTCAGAAAAAGTAACAATCAATGAGAAGAAAGACATTTCTTCCATTGATAGAAAGAAAAATCATGTGTCAAATTTGATAGATGAGATAAAAGGTCTGTACACAAAAAACATGATTCAAACCGTTCGTCAAACTTATCTCATCATTCAATTCGAAATGGGTTCAGAATTAGAGTTTGCAAAAAAATGTCCTGCGACACTCTATGCATAACATCAACTTTCATCACCACTGTGAAAAATGGCACTTCCGACAGAGGAATGCCTCCTTTGTTTGCCATA